ATCTGCCTGCCTCTGCCTCCCAAGTGCTGGGACTACAGGCTTGTGCCACCATGCCCGGCTAAAATTTATTATTTATTTTAGGTATATGAGTGTATTGCCTGCATGTGTGTAAGTGCAATGCAATGCCTCTTCTGAGAGGGTGTCAGATCCCTTGGAACTGGAGTTACAGATGGTAGTTAGCCACTGTGTGGGTGTTGGGAATCAAACCCGGGTCCTCTGGCTCTTAACCGCTGAGCCATCTCGCCAGCTTCAAATTTTTGGGGGGGGGTCTTTTTGTTTTGCTAATTCATTTTTTATGTGTGTATTTCATACAGAACATCCAAAACAATCTTATTCATCTTTATACCCACATCCCAAATGTCACCCTCCCATAACCACCCCCCGAGTGGAGCCCATATACTCTGTCATTCCTGTTACCGTCCACTGTGTTGTCAGTGTCCGCAGCCGTTCCCCAGTGCTAGTCCATCTGCTGAGTCTAGTCAGCCTATCTAGAGTCCCTTGTTTTAGGAAGATCATCTCTTCCTCACCTAGCAGCAGTCAGTTGCCAAGATTCCTTTAGATAAGATTGGGGTCTGCTGTTCATTTTCCCAGTTCTGTGGTGGGTTACTGTCTGGGAGTCTCTTGGGCCACCCTGGCCAACAACTCAAAGTATTGTTTCTTGTTATGTAGCCTTTAGCTATACACATGGACTGTTAGAGAAATATACTGATCACTTTAATCTTTTTACTTTTCTCTTAGGTGTTTTAAGACCATACAGTTGGTCCAAATAAACCAATTTATTTTTACTCTCAAGGTCGTTTGAGAATCTGTTCCTCAGGTGTCACGTGGATTTGGAAGGAGCTCCTGGAGCCTTTCTTTTTTTACCAGTTTCATGAATGTGAAGATAAGTCAAAGGTCCTGCTCGGCCATGGCTGGCTTCACTTGGAAGCCAGGAGGAGATGTTTCCTCTGTGTTGACTCTCCTCTTTGCAGGCTGGACACTGAACTGGCTCAGCAAACTTCCCTAAGTTACTCCATTTTGTTCAGAGCCATTTCAGCAGCAACTTTGCTCCACACCGAAAGGAAAAAGGGGCAACCTTGGGCCTTGGAAAATTGCCCTCGCCATGAATCATGGAATGTGCTAATTCCAGATATTATATTTTTACTAACCAGCTTGTTTTCGCTTCTGCAACCTGCTTGCTGTCTTGGGTCGCCCTGACACAGGGCACAAGACCACCCTTGTTATCCTGTTATTGTATGACCACCTAGAAGTTATTTACCTTGACTGTCTTATTTTACTTGTTATGGCTAAAGCAGTTGGCTAGTTTTTAATGTCACAAAGTTGAGTGCCAAGTTATATGACTGTATCACTTATCTGTACAATGATTGGTTGTTAATAGAATCAAAATACTGCTATGTTGTACAAACCTGATTGGTTCACAAATGTCCTGTTTTAATAATAATTCTGTAATCCTATAAAAACTCTGACTTAACAATCATCAGGACTGCTTCTACTCCCGAGATAGACAGCCCGGCCAGTCAAAAATTAAAATTTACCTTGCTACTTTTCTTAAAGTGGTGTTGGTGATTTTTTTTACGAACTCTGTCCTATAACATTTGGAGGTTCCACCGAGATCCAGAGGACTTCTGGGCCCGGCAGCTTTGGGAAAGTCTCTGAGAAGGGGCTGCCTGGCAGTATTCTGAGGACTCCCCAGTAGGGGACCTGCATCAGCCTTGGCTGTAGGGCAGTACAGGCAAACTCCCTGAGAGGGGACTTGCATCAGTCCCAGCTGCTTCGGCTTCCCCAGTCAGACCTCCAGTTTCTCCCTCCACACCACCAGCAAGGTAAGAGAGCGCTTGAGAAACCACTTTTGATTTTGGTTTCTCTCCTGGTTTTGGCTAGCCGGCGATCTGTCGCCATCGGGTTCTGGGCTCTGATCAGAGAAACTAGGTGGGAAGCTGGACGCAGCAAATCTTCCCCTAGTCGGGTTTCGGAGGAGACGTCCCTGGACCCACCTGGCCGTGAGCCTAAAAGCTTGTCTTTTGGGACCTGGATTTGACGGCAATCTCATTGATGTTATTTGTCTATTCTTGTCTCATTCTGTGTTTGGTCTTGTATCTGTGTTCGTCATGGGTGGGAGTGTGTCTCAGAGTGCTACCCCGTTAGCGGGTATGTTGAACAACTTATCTGATTTCAGGTCATATTTTGGATGCACCTAGTTTTAATGCAATTATGTCATGTTATGTCTCCTGTGCTGAGATCTCAAGTAATTCTGTCATGTATATCTGTGATTATTGTCTTCATATGTTTCCATCAAAACTCCTAAATATCTTTAAATTTATTGGCTGAACTGGTTGTTTAAGGTCCTTATTTGTTGCATACCTTTTGGTTTGGGTTTGCTTTCATAATGTTTGTTTTAAAAAATATCTCCTTGTTTTGCTCGCTTTGGAAGTATTTTGGTTTTGACATTCTTGATCTGGTTTATTTTGCTTTCAGACCTC